GTCATTTATGATTTTGGGTTAAAATAAAAACCCTATTTTTCTAAATACATCCTGTGACTCCTCCTGTTTAACTCGGTCCATCACACGGGGGTTCAGTTTTTTCGTTAGTTTAGTTCTTATTGATAGTTCAAGTGAAGAGGATGAGATTCAAACCGAGATATGCTAACAATGTCTAATGTTATAACTGTGGTATCATTGAATGTCAATGGCTTAAACAATATCAAAAAGAGAGATAAGGTCCTAACCAAATTTGGCAAAGAAGAAGTACAGGTTATTCTCTTACAGGAGACACACCTAACAAAAAAAGGACATGAAATGTATAAAAAATTAGGATATGTAAACTCGTTCTCCTCCTCATTCGGAGAAAGGCATAGACGAGGAGTTATGACATTGATTTCAAATAGTGTAAAGTTTGAACTTTTGGAGGACATTGCGGACAAAGAAGGGAGATATTTAATAATAAAGGGCAAATTTGAAAATCAGTTAATCACACTGCTTAATGCATATGCCCCTCCAGAAAGTGACAAAGTACTTTGTAAGAAAATATTTCATCTCATCAACTTGGAAGCAGAGGGAATATTGATATGTAGCAGAGACTTTAATGCTGTGTTAAACCATAGGATAGATACCACAAGCAATAAATATTGTAAAAAACTGATCAGCAGGTACATGAACACCATGATGTCAGAAATGGCAATTATAGATGTGTGGAGAGAACTTCACCCCCTGGATCAAGATTTTACTCACTATTCAATTCCACGTTATTTATTCCAGAATTGATTATATGCTAATGATCAAGAGAGAACTACACAGAGTGAAAGAGTGTAGGATTGGAGTTTCAGATGTTTCCGATCATAACGCAATCTATCTTAAAATCCATCTAAATAATGGGAAGAACAATACTTTATGGAGGCTAAATGAAGAAATACTAAATAATAAGACTCTAGTTGAAGAAGTAAAAGAGGCGATAATCCGATATAAAGAAGAAAACGATAATGGTGAAGTAGACCCAGTAATTCTTTGGGATGCTCTAAAGGCGGTAATACGGGGAAAATGATTTCTTACACAGCATTTATGTAAAAAAGCAAGATTAGAAACATACAACAGACAAATAAGGAAGCTTAGAGATTTAGAACAACAACATAAACATACAAATGATCCAGATGTATTCAAGCAGATTGAAGAAACCAGGAAAGAAATGGATGAGTGTTTATGGGAGGAGGTAGAAAAGAAGGCTAGATTTACCAGACAAACGTACTATGAAGGGGGACCAAAAGCTACAAAAAATTTGTCTAGGCGTATTAAGAAACAACAATCATTAAGTAATATACATAAAATAAGAGATCCACTAACTAACACAATTCTATATGAACAAGAAATGCAAAGTACGTTTGAGCAATACTACAAAAATCTATATGCAAAGCCACCATCGGATGGGAAAGAGGAGGTATGTATCTGTTTGGAAAAATTGGATTTACCAGCAATAGGCACAAAACAAAACGTGACACTGACTTCTCCAATTACAGAGGCAGAGATTACAAAGGCAATTGGCAGGGCTAAACCAGGAAAGTCACCAGGGTCAGATGGTTTAGGGGCTTCCTTTTATAAAACCTTCAAAGAGGAATTAACGCTATTGTTATATGACTCATTTAACTATAGTCTCAGGGCTGGCAAGATGCCTCCTTCTTGAAAGGAAGCCATTATCTCCGTAATTCCAAAGGAAGGTAAAGACCAAGAATACTGCCACAATTACAGACCAATATTGGTATTGAATGTAGATTATAAACTGTTTACCTGCATCATAGCCAAAAGAATGGAAAACTTAATGCAGGATTTAATTGATGAGGATCAAACTGGTTTTATAAAGGAGAGGCAAACACAAGATAATATAAGGAGAACTCTTCATATCAAAGACCATCTGCAGAGAAGAGGGGAGGGGGCAGTTTTGATAAGTATAGACGCGGAAAAGGCTTTCGATAGTGTCAATTGGAACTTTTTGTATAAGGTCTTAGAAAAATTCGGATTTAATGAGACATTTGTAAAATGTATCAAATTAATTTACCAAGAGCCAACTGCAAGAATTAAAATAAACGGCAACCTGACAGGAAGATTTACTTTAGAGAGAGGAACGAGACAGGGATGCTGCCTCTCACCAAGTCTTTTTGCACTGTTTATAGAGCCTCTAGCTCAGATGATTAGACAGGCGGAGGAAATAAAAGGAGTGGAAATAAGAGGAGAAGAACATAAAATAGGGTTATTTGCTGATGACATCTTGATTTATCTCAAAAATCCAAATGAAATGCTTTTAGAAACAATAAATTACTTGACAATTATGGGAAACTCTCTGGATATAAAATTAATGTGGAAAAAACACAAATTCTAACAATAAATTACTCCCCACAGCAATTAATAAGGAATACTTACAAATTTAAGTGGAATGCAAAATCTATAAAATATTTAGGGGTCAACATAACCAAAACAATGGACAAACTTTATGATGCAAATCATTTAGAAATTAGCCATAATATTAAGAAGGACCTGGGGCGATGGATGGACATTGGCTTAGATCTCAGCTCGAGAGTGGAGATAATTAAAATAAATATTTTACCACGATTGTTATACTTATTTCAGTCTCTACCACTGAATATCCCGCAAAAACAATTTGTAGAATGTAAGAGATGGATCTCAAGGTTTATATGGATCGGGAAGAAACCTAGGGTCAAATATAAAACACTTCAACTCCCAAAAGATAAAGGTGGCCTGGGCTTACCAGCCCTAAAAGAATATTTTTGGGGCGCACAAATTAGACCTCTGGTATGTTGGTGCAATGATGATTATGTCTCAAGATGGAAAACTCTGGAAATAGGCAGAAAAGACATAGAAGTTAAAAATTTACTAGCACATAAAAAACCGTGAAGCACACTAAGCAGTAAGCTAGATTCTATAACTAAAACTACGATTGAAATATGGAACACAGTAATTGATAATTACAAGTTAGAGAAAGAAACAAGGAGCGGAAGCTGGTTTGCTTGGGATCCGAGGTTTAAACCTGGTTTTAAACAATGGGCAAATAAAGGTGCCACAGCAGTGTGTAAATTGACTGAAAAGGGTCAACTACTGAGCTTTAATAGCCTAAAGGAGAAATATGATCTGGAAGAACAAGACCAGCATAGATATCTGCAAATAAAGGACTATTATGAGAAAGAGATAAAAACCTCCATAAGTAAAATAATAGAGATATTTCATAAGGCCTATGAGGGGAATAAACTACAAATTATTTCTGCACTGCACCAGGGACTGATGGCAGACAAGGATGCATCCTCTATGTACATTAAAAGAAAATGGGAGGAAGAATTGAAGGAACACATAAGCGAGGAGGACTGGTCTAAAATTTGTAAAATGCAGTGTACGGCCACTTGCTCCCGTGTGTGGAGGGAATTCAGTTGGAAAAACATGATTAGATTTTTTATAACTCCAAAGATCAGGACCAGGATGGTTTTCAACCCACAACCTTGCTGGAGACTTTGTGGCCAGTCTGATGTAGGCCACACGCACATATTCTGGTCTTGTCAAAAACTAACGGTATAGTGGCACAATGTCTGTCTTACCTTGAAAAACATATTGGGATATGGAATACCCAGGACGTGCAAAATACTCTACCTGGGATGTCTCACTCATGATGCATTTCAAAAGGAGGATGAATATTTGTTAAAAATATTACTTACAGCAGCAAGGAAAAACATCACAAGATTATGGTGTAAACCAACCCCCCCCTGCGGTGGAAAGATGGTTGTGCATTGTAGAAGAGATCTTTGTAATGGAGAAGATTACTTACAGACTAAGATTGCAGGAGGACAAGTTTGTTGCTAAATGGGAAAAATGGAGCAACTTTAGTCGGAGGGAAAATGCCACTCATGTAACCAGTTAAATATGGACGCGGCTGTCCGACATTGTATATGAAGTTGAATGTAACGATGCGATCTTCACTGTATATGTGTTCAAAAATGTTCAATAAAAAATAAGTTAAAAAAAAAACATCCTCTGTTTTTTAAAACAGAGGATGTTTCCTTCCTCTGTTTTAAATCTAAACTTCCACCAAATGTTTCCTCCATCCTGAGGTCAGCATGTGGCGACATGCTGAATCAGGCAGCAGTTCCTACTGAACTCCATGCAGAGGAAGAGGAAGGAATCTGTTCTTTATAGTAATATGTTTTAGTCTTTAACTAGGCCAATTAGAGCCAGATGGACATCAACCTTTTCTAGAAACTGTTAGAACTTTTATCCCATCAAACATGAGGTGTGACATCATGATAATTTACAGAAATCAAATTTGGAACAAAACATATTTAAGCAACAACTAATATTAGATAGTGATCACATATAAAATCAATAATCAGCCCTGTGTTAGTGAGTCATTCTGCACAGGAAATCACTCTGCTTCATATTGTCCTGCCAGATAAACTAAAATCAATCTCAGATATTGATTTCACTCAGTGATCATCTCTATAGCAGCTGATCGCTGATCAAAGCTGCTGGTTTATTGAATAACTGGAATCAGAGATGAAGCTGATGAGACTGTTCAGCTTCACAGGCCGGGTCCGGTCTGTAAACCTGCCGGGTCCGGTCTGTAAACCTGCCGGGTCCGGCCTGTAAACCTGCCGGGTCCGGTCTGTAAACCTGCCGGGTCCGGCCTGTAAACCTGCCGGGTCCGGTCTGTAAACCTGCCGGGTCCGGTCTGTAAACCTGCCAGGTCCAGTCTGTGAATCTGGACCCGGCAGGTTTACAGGCTGAAGAAACAGAAAAATAACCAGAACTTCCAGAACTTTCTGCAGAAACGTCCAGACATGTTTAAACGGCTGCAGATTTGATGGCAGAAGTTACGAAAAGATTCTGCTGTAATCCATTTTGGATCTTCCATAGTTGGTAGTAACTAGTTATGTTTACTCAGTTACATTTACTCAAGTAACCTTTTGGAAAAACTGTTTCCATTTAGGAGTGAATATAATAAAGTGTTTTATTTAATGCAGTGATATTATGAAGATTTAGATCATCATCTAGTAACGTCACTAAATGAAGAACAGACGTGTGTTAACCAGTAGCTGATGTTATTTTCTACAGTGTTTTTGCTTCTACTGTCTCTTCATGATGATTTCAAATATATATTTGACCAAAAACAAAGAGACCTGGAAAACCTCCAGTCTGGAGCCGATCAGGAAGGAGTTGACTGAAAACTGCCAGCAGAGCACACGCCTCCAGATTGTACCAGGCTCTGCTGGTTGCTGAGAGCCCAAAATAAATCAGAGTGATTTATGGCGAGGAAGATGTGAGGAGGAATCAGGACAGATGAGGAATATTGAACCATCGTCAGAGTCTAAGACATGGAAGCGTCTCGTTGCTGCTGGAAGAGAAGCTCCTTCATCATCAGGTCTTCCTCCAGCAGGTCGATATCTGCTCTGGTTCTGGCCCAGTTGGCGTCTCTGCTGGTGATCCTCACTGTGGGGTTAATGTGGGCAGGAAGGACAGGCTGTGACATCACCGAGGGGCGGAGGTCGATTCGTCCTCATTGTCTCTGCTGGCTCTTTGCTGTCTGCAGGTTTTCCATCCGGTTGAGGATCTTCTCAGACGATGAAAGGTTTGGACCTCGAGGTTTGACCAGGGATTGCTGATTGCCACCTGCTACAGCTACAGCCTCATCATGGACTGAAAATGGATGTTGATGATGTGAATCCGTCGATGAAGTCGGTCCAGTCCCTGGACCAGAACATCTCAGGCGATCACACATCTGTTCTTGTATTTCTCCTTCATCATCTTTATCTCTCTCTCCTGGTTGTTCTTTAATTCCTCCATTTCTTTCAGCCGCTTGTCTTTCTGCTGCAGTTCTTCTTTCAGTCGTTCCTCTTTGTGAACCTGCAGGTTGTCCAGCAGTTTGTACTCTCTCTGCTGTTTCTCCTCTTTCTCCTGCATCTCCCTCCGGTGTTTCCGCTCCAGGTTGTTCATTTCCTCCCGGTGTTCCTCCATCAGACCAGCAAAGTTTTTCCCGTACTTCTCCCTGAAGTCGTTGTGTTCTTCAGCTTGCTCTCTCGCCTCCTCTTGGAACTTCTTCCTGATGTCGGCTGCTTTCCTCTCGTATTTTTCGATCAGCTCTCCCAGTGTTTCGTCCTCCTGCTCAGTCTGTTGTTCGCACGTCTTTTTTCTCTGATCGTAATACATTTGCATCTGTTTGAGTTTTATTTCTGCCTTTTTCCGTCTGCTCTCATTCTCTCTCCTTCGACGTTCCCAGTATTCCTTCAGCTCCTTCTTCCTGTTCTCTTGCTCTCTCCTCTTACTTTCTTTGAGTTGTCCCAGTAAACTTTTCTTCTCCAGATCCGTCGTAGAATCCATTTTTTCCTGCAAATCTTTCAGTTTTGCTTCAGACACCAGATTTTCCTCCTCCTCCTCTCTCTTCTTCTTGCCGTCTTCTTCATCCCTCTTTTCCGTCTCTTTCTTTATCCTCTCAGTCTCATTGGTCAGTTTAACTCTCGCTTGTTCCAGTTGTTTTAAATTGTCTTCTCTGTCAGTAGCTAGAGCTGCTTTTTGTTCTTCCATCCTCTCCTGCAGCTCCTTCATCTCTTTGTCTCGTTGTTTCTCAATCCTTTGCAGCTCTTTCTGGATTTCCTCGTTCTTCTGTTCCAGGATTTTCTCCACTTCTTTCTGGATCTCCGCCTCGGCTTCCCTCAGCATCTCATTGGTGAAGCAGCCGCCGCCGTTTTTCTTCACCATCTGCTCGATCTTCCCTATCAGCCCAGAGGCCTGCTGCGCTTTGCTTTCTTTGTCGTAGTTGTTGAACACGTGGTACCGTCCGCCACAGGCTTCGATGAGATTCTTGATGTGATCGTCTCCTTTCTCTATGTATTCCTCTACAGACATTGAATGATGTTCTAATGAATCTCCTTTAGTGAACAGGATGATGGTGAACTTCTCAGAAGTCTTTCCAAAGACTCTCTTGACCAGTTTTAATGTGTCCATCTCCTCTGCAGTGAACCTGCCGATCTGCAGCACCAGAAGGAAGACGTGTGGCCCTGGAGCCAGGAGACTGATGCACTTGGTCATCTCCTCATTGACTTCATCGTTGGACAGGCTGGTGTCAAACAGTCCAGGAGTGTCGACCACAGCGACTGAGCGGCCGGACACTTCCCTCTGTGCTTTCTGGCAATACTTGGTGACAGATTTCTGGAGAGTCTGAGCTTTGAATTCCTCTCTTCCTAGGATGGTGTTTCCAGAGGAGCTCTTCCCACAGCCGGTCTTACCGATCAGGACGATCCTAAGAGTGTCTGGGGTCGGCGGTTCATCAATTCCTGGAAGGAAAGAAGTCACTTAAGTTTTTACATGAACTAGTTTAGGGATCAGTAGGTCATGAGTGTAGGTTAGTAGGAAGGATGTGAACTTCTGATCTACGTTTATGAAAACAAAAATGAACCTGGGTTTTACTTCAGAGGTGAATCTGGGCATTAATAGACAATGGAAAATCTTTTTGCTTTAAAGCAACTTATTGACCTTGTTCTGTCAAAAGATCATGTCGATTAGGTCAAAAGGGTCAAATGTGTAATGTCAGAGTAATATATCACACTTCCTGTTGCCAAGGCGTGTTGATAAAGTCATGTTACGACCTGACCGTTGCATGTCACAGGAACCCCATGTTGGTTTGGCATCTCTGTGACACCAAACAAAAAAGGCTTTGAAACTTGGTGTTTTGATAACTTTTAATCCTCCATGCCTTATGAACAAATTAATCAAATTTCAAACTGATTGATTGAAATCTGTAAAAGTTTGATCAAATGCCGAAGCTATAAACTGTCAAAATGGGTGAAAAATTAGAACTTCAATCCAAGATGGCCGACTTCTTGTTTGGTATAGAGTATTGGGGAATTCTACAAGTGTACCAAATCTCATAGAAGTATAATAAATGAAGGTCATTGCCTTGAAAGTTGCAAGGGGGCGCTGTTGAGTCATTCCTGTTCTGACTTTGTGAAACTCTTAAAAACATGTAATTTTCACCCAGTTCTGATGCGTCTGTCGAGCTTGGTAAGCTCTTCTATTCGTTTAGGCCTCTGAAAAACATCCGATTTAACGGGAAGAAGAAACTGATATAATAGACTTTCTCAGGTTGCTGGGCAATTAAAACACGTTAGCATTAGCTTCTGCTAAACACCATGTTTGTGTTGTGCTTAGCTGTAGCAGTGCTAATGTTCATGCTTTAGGGTTAGCACAGCTCACTTTGTAGTTAGATTTATCTGGGTTAGTCACATCAGTGGGTCATCAGATAAAAGTTACGTATTTCAGGAGGTCGATTGTCCACCCAGAGCTGAGTACTCACAGGTGAGCAGGATTAAAACACGCCTCCTGTGGCCTCTGTGGGCTTGGAAAGCCAGCCTCTGCTGCCCCCTGGAGGTCATGGGAATAGTGCATCTGCATTCAGACTTGAATAGTTTGAATTTCCTTCCTGATTCTTCCCAGAGTCCCAGTGCAAAGTAACGTAATGGGACATTTTGTAGCTTATTTATTGTGTTATATATTTATAATTTAAAGCCCTTTGAACTGCCTTTAGGTGAAATGTGAGATACTAATGAACTTGACTTGGCTGCAGATGGAGGAAGTTCCACATACTGGACTTTGTTTTTCACGCTTTTCTACTTTGGCTTCGTCTTTGTTTAAGAAGTTTTTCCATATCAGGTTGAAATGAAGTCAATCTAAAACATGTCAAAGATCAGAGTATTCGCGGTTATTTTTAATGACTAACTTACTGTTGATGTTGGCTTTCCTCTTGAGGTTCTGAACTTCTTCCTCCAGATGTCCAATGTTTTTATCTTTTTCCCAGATTTTTTCTGCTTGAGCGTTGGCGTGTATTTTGGCCGTGTATCCATGTTGCTCATCTTCAGACATGATGTTTTTTTCTATGACACGCAGCAGTTCTGGGATCTGCCGTCTGTCTCTGATGTTCAGAACCAAATATCTCCCTCCACAGCTCCGGCAGAGATCCTGGATGTCTCCGTTCTCCTTTATAAAGTTCCCAACAGCTGGATGTTTAGGGTCTGACTCCACAGTGAAGAGGATGGTGGTGAAGTCATTGACTCTGGAGCTGAATGTGTCCTGGATGGTGTGTAACTCTCCCTTGTCTTCATCAGTGAGGGGACCCACAGGCAGGACCAGGATGAAGGCGTGGACACCCTCAGGATCACAGAGGGAGACACACCTGAAGGATTCCTCCATCACTTCCTGCTGAGCTTTTCCGTACAGTGAAGGCATCTCCAGAATAGAAACCCAACGGCCACACGCCTCTCCTTCGTTCATGATGATGTCTGAAGGGTTGGCATCCGAATGAAGCTCTGTCTGACCCAAAATGACCTTTGTTAGTGAGGTCTTCTCTGCGCCTCTTGTCCCACACAGAACCAGGTTTAAGGTTCTCCTGTGAAGTTCAGGTTCTGGGTCCATGTTGTCTTCAGCGAAGGTGAGGTAGACTCCCTTGTTGAGATGCACAGTGGCTTTAACCCTCCTCATTAATGTCCTCTGGTCATTTTCATACATGTTGAACTGCCGTTCATCACAGTCTCTGATGAGCTGCTTGGTTGGCCCAGATTCGATTTGTTCATGTGTCTTTACCACCAGCGTGTGCTTCAGAGCGTCCGGTCCCAACAAGCCGAGGACGGATGAGAGGCTTTGCCTCTTTCTTTGTGAGAATGAGGAAGGTTTGACCAGCAGCAGAAGGACATTCGGTCCAGGCTCACAGAGTCTCACACACGCCTTCATTTCTGCTTTGATTTTTTTCTCAGACATGTGGAAGAAGTTTGGAGTTTTAACCACCGTCAGTGAATATCCTTTCCACTCTCCATCAGCAGCTGCACATTTGGGAGAAGACGTTTTATGGAAAAGCTCTCGGCCTTTACCAAGGATAAAGTTCCCCAGTTTTGTCTTCATTTCTTCACTTTTCCCAAACAGAACTATTCTGAAGGCAGAACCTGAAACACAACAAGAACAAACAAAAACAGTTTAGAAACTGCATGCGGTGCCACATCCAATCACTTTATCAATAAGGGATGGAGAATCGATCGAGAATGTAAACTTGTTCAAAAAGTTCAATTAGCATCCAGGTACGCTTTCATTGGACCAGAACTTAGTATCGGAGTTAGCATAACCTGCTAGCATAACTTGCTAGCATAACCTGCTAGCATAACTTGCTAGCATAACCTGCTAGCATAACTTGCTAGCATAACCTGCTAGCATAACCTGCTAGCATAACTTGCTAGCATAACTTGCTAGCATAACCTGCTAGCATAACTTGCTAGCATAACTTGCTAGCATAACTTGCTAGCATAACCTGCTAGCATAACTTGCTAGCATAACCTGCTAGCATAACTTGCTAGCATAACCTGCTAGCATAACTTGCTAGCATAACTTGCTAGCATAACCTGCTAGCATAACCTGCTAGCATAACTTGCTAGCATAACCTGCTAGCATAACTTGCTAGCATAACTTGCTAGCATAACTTGCTAGCATAACCTGCTAGCATAACCTGCTAGCATAACTTGCTAGCATAACCTGCTAGCATAACTTGCTAGCATAACCTGCTAGCATAACAGTAAACAGGCTTTTTCTCTTCAATATCCTTCAAAAACGTATGTTTATTGGCTTTCAGTGCAACGTTTATTTCTGTTCTTCTGATTCTTTCACTCAACTTGTTTCCTGGTTGATGTTTAATATCTGCACTTTATTGTTTTAATCTTTGTCTTGTGTCATGATGCTTGGTGTAAATTGTGAAGGATTTTGGTTCACTGCTGTTTTAAATGTGAAATTTGAAATTACTTTAATCCATTTGAAACTGGGGTTAGTTTCAGTTTTACGTTCTGGTTTAATCAAAGACAAAAACCAAAACATGGTGAAATATTTACCAATGATTGAATCATGGCCAATTATGGTTTAGCATTTAATGAAGGAATGAAGTTGGATTCATACAAACAAAGGAAATTTATTCTGAACTCACTGGAAACCTGGGTGTCCATGCATGTCTGTTCCTCAAACTTCTCTGAGCTGATGCGTCGTCCTCTGTTCTCTGCCAGAGTTTTTTCCAAAACCTGCCAGATCTCAGAGAGTTTGGTGGTCCTCCTCCACAGAAACTCTCCTCTGCAGTTCCTCACCATGGCCTCTAGGGCTGGCAGACTGACCGAGTTTTGTCCGGGTGTCTCTCCGGGTGTCTCTCTGGGTGTTTTCAGAACCAGCGAGTGAGCAAAGGATTGGTCGCTGATATATTGCAGGATTCTGCAGAGCCTGTCTTTGTGGTCCTCTGTGAAGCTTTCAGGTTGCAGAACCAGCAGAAACAGATGAGGTCCAGGAGAAGAAAGTCTCATGCAGCGTTCGATGTGCTCTATCAGATGGAACTGGGAGACGTTGGACAGCAGCAGATTTGGAGTGTTGACGATGACCAAGCCGTTCCCCATCAGCTGACCTCTGAAGCTCAGGCAGGTTTCTGGTTCTACCTCGGGGTTGAACTGGGACTGTCCCAGTAAGGTGTTCCCAACCTCACTTCTTGAAGACCAACTGTTCCCCATTAGGATGATCCTCAGTGGGGAGACTGAAGAACAAAAAGACAGGAAACTGTAAAAACATTGTCCAGTTTGTGTCTCTGGTCCTTCATTCGTGTTGGCGACTTTTCAGAGGTTTTGTTTGCATCTGCAGTAGTTCTGAATGGAGTTTGTGTGCATGTAGTGCCACCCACTGGCCAATGAGTGAAAGTGCACTTCAAATGGCAAAACAACCAGAGGAGCTCAACAACAAGCCAGTTCAGTTTATTGACATCAACAGTTTCAGATGTTCCACCGAAACTGGATATCCATGGTACATGGTAACTGTCCAAAATGGCTGCCATTGCCACATGTGAGATCAGGAAAAATATAGAAATATGAATATAGATTAAAGACTATTGGTTTCAACAGAGGCTAACAGCCTAAATACATAAATGTTGGCCAGGTTGTCTTAGTATCATTCTTAGGATGAGGCTGAAACATGATGTTCAGCATGTTTGCATATTGAAATGTTTATAATAATGTCTGGTACGTTTGCTCCTTCTTTTGGGGGATTTGTGAACTTTTTGTACTTTGCTGTGATGATACAGTCATTTTAGAACAAGAATCTGAGGACATGAAACGAGTTAACAATCTGTTCTTGAACAGAACTTCATCAAGTCCAAAGCGCGTCATGAATTCAGTCATTCAGTGTTGGTGGTGAACTACTGGATAGTAGCTACAGCTGCTCTGGGGCAGAGCCAAGCTGCGGCGCCACTGGACCCACTGGATCCACTGGATCCTCTGGACCCTCCAGATCCACTGGGTCCTCTGGACCCACTGGACCCTCTGGATCCTCTGGACCCACTGGATCCACTGGACCCTCTGGACCCTCTGGACCCACTGGATCCACTGGACCCTCTGGATCCACTGGATCCTCTGGACCCTCTGGATCCACTGGACCCACTGGACCCTCTGGACCCTCCAGATCCACTGGGTCCTCTGGACCCACTGGACCCTCTGGATCCTCTGGACCCACTGGATCCACTGGACCCTCTGGACCCTCTGGACCCACTGGATCCACTGGACCCTCCGGATCCACTGGACCCACTGGATCCTCTGGACCCACTGGATCCACTGGATCCTCTGGACCCTCCAGATCCACTGGGTCCTCTGGACCCTCTGGATCCTCTGGACCCACTGGACCCTCCGGATCCACTGGGTCCTCTGGATCCTCTGGATCCTCTGGATCCTCTAGACCCTCTGGACCCACTGGACCCTCTGGACCCTCCAGATCCACTGGGTCCTCTGGACCCACTGGACCCTCTGGATCCTCTGGACCCACTGGATCCACTGGACCCTCTGGACCCTCTGGACCCTCCAGATCCACTGGGTCCTCTGGACCCACTGGACCCTCTGGATCCTCTGGACCCTCTGGACCCACTGGATCCACTGGACCCTCTGGACCCTCTGGATCCACTGGATCCTCTGGACCCTCTGGATCCACTGGACCCTCCGGATCCACTGGACCCACTGGACCCTCTGGATCCTCTGGACCCTCTGGATCCACTGGATCCTCTGGACCCTCTGGATCCACTGGACCCTCCGGATCCACTGGACCCACTGGACCCTCTGGATCCACTGGATCCTCTGGACCCTCTGGATCCTCTGGACCCTCCAGATCCACTGGGTCCTCTGGATCCTCTGGATCCTCTAGACCCTCTGGACCCACTGGACCCTCTGGACCATCTAGACCCACTGGACCCTCTGGACCCACTGGACCCACTGGACCCTCTGGATCCTCTGGACCCTCTGGACCCTCTAACCACCAGCCAACAACAGAGGAGGATGAAGCAACATCAAACTGCAGGATGAACTCTTACAGCCGTCGCCTCCTCAAATACAGGAAGAAATCCTGGGAGCTGAAACCCGAGGAGATTCCTCCCCTCCCCCACCGCTACGTCTGGCCCCGTCCTTTATATTCAGTAGAGACAATAACGGCTTTGTGGTTGAGGACTCCAGCAGCAGTGAGGTCTCTCACTCCCACAACCCTGATGTTGACACACCTTGCAGGGCGGGGAATCCAGGTCCTTGAGGGCCTGCAACTCTTAGACGTCTCCCTGGTCCAACACACTTGAGTCCAGCAGCTGGATCACCTCCTAAGGTTCTCCAGAGTCCTAATGACCTCATTATTTGACTCAGGTGTGTTGAAGTGGAGACGTATCAAAAGGTTGCAGGAGACCGGGCTTCCAGGCCTGGAGTTTCTCAGCCCTGACACACATCTGCATTCAGAGCAGCACTTCCTGTTATCACAGAGGTTCAGTCAAAGCTTCAGAAAGGCAGATAAACACCAAGCCTCCTTCCACTTACAGGTCATAATGAGATCTTTGCTGGTTTTACGGGTCAAGCGAGGCACGTCATAAAACACTGAGAGAGAGAGAGAGAGACAGAGAGAGAGAGAGTTTTCTATTAGGTCATTCAGATGCATTATGGGAAGGTTATATCGTACAATAACAATACAGCTGGACTCTAGAAAGATGGAGTCACTTTGCAGCCATTTTAGGTTTGTGTTGCTGTTGAGACTTTTCAACACAAGAGGGCGCAGTAACACAATGTGGAGTTTGGCTCCACATATTATTACATAATCATATAATCATTCTGCAGGCAGCAAATCAAATGTTTCACCAAATCAACAACATAACTGAACCAGTAGCTGCTCAAATATCAACACGTTTACATAAATATCAGATTATTAATTGATCGACAGGAAATGACCTCTTTACGTTTCCTTCCTGCTGCATCTGGACCAGGTTTCAGTCAACTCACAGCAGCTTTGCTCTGTTCATGTATTTTAGTCCATAAGTTTAAATTCAAACCTCTCCTGCATGTCAGACAGCAGTTTATTCCAGAGCAGGAACAAAGCTGCCAGATTCACAACAATCTGTCAATAATATTCTCATTCTTACAGTCAGAACTCATATTTTTACCAGCAGCAAACCTGAATAAATCTTGATGCTTTTGGAAACAGAAATTGTTGTGGTCAAATATTCACAGAAATAAAGCAAGAAAATAATTTTTAAAACATTTTGGAGAATTTAAACAAGCAAACAGTGTAAAAACTTTGAACAATCCTCAAGATTCAGGTCAGAAAATATGATTTTCTCAAACTCTGCAGGTAAAACATAATTCAGGAAATATATGTGTAATAATCTGTTTCAAGTTCTGTGTGAACAAACTGTGATATCAGGCATAACATTATGACCGCTGGCCGGTGAGGTGGATTATATGTTTTAGGCAGGTGGTCATAATGTTTTGCCTGATCAGAGTAGATATATGAGAAACAGAATGTAAGTAGATCTGAACTCACCAGCTGCTTCATCCATCGTGATTCTCCAGGAAATGACGAGATCTGAGGAGAAACTGAGAAATATTTCAATTATTTCAAACATCAAAAGGTTATAAACTAATAAAATCAACTTTTATTAAGTAATTATTTAAATGTTTAACCCATCAGCATCTCAGATCCGTCTGAAAAACATTAAAACATCCTGGAGAAGAAAACTCTCCTGAATCATGCCTTTATTTTGAAAGGATTCCCATTCATTCTGAGGCTTCAGTATTTACCAGGATCTGAAAAGTTACATTTTCTCCTCATCCAAACCTGCAGAGGTTGGTTTTAGATCCATAAACCAGAATTTTAGATGATTTCAGATTTTCATTAGCCAAAGTCGCAACATGAAAAACTGATCAAAATGATCAAACCTGCTGAGTGACCTCTGGAGGAGCTGGAGGAGCAGCGCTCGCACACTCACCGGCTGATTCCAGAAAACGTGTTGAACTGAGAGCTGATCAATAATCCATCATTTCAATCATCATTTCAGACAAATTCATGGCAGTTTTTCTTCTCTCTGCTGACGGACGGACTGAACTCTGTTCAGTGACCTTCGACCTCTGGCTCTGTTTATTGCACATTTATCTGACTTTATGGCTTTATTGAAACTATAAGAAGCTGTTTTTACTAGTGATTTTATTTCTGTTTGAACTTTGAATCTTTTTATTTCCTTCTCTGACATGAAGACGCAGAACGAACCTGAAGACGGAAACAAGTCGATTGATTTTCCTTCATTCTTCATGTTTCCATCTGATTCTGAGAGAAAGAATAAAGTTTTGGAAATGATCAGAATATTGGAGAAAATTCAGACACAAAATCAAACAAAGAAAACAAAACTGTAGAAGTTAGAAAAGATTTGAGATGTTTTCATTTCATATTTTAATTATTAACATTTAGTTTGAATAAACTCACCAGAAATTGTTGTAAAATCGTTTTAATCCACGTTCAGCTTCATCAAACATCTACCTGGCAGAAGGTCAAAGGTCACAGGAGGCGGGGCCAAGCAGACAGAGACAGTCAAACCGACCAATCAGAGGCCAGCGCCTGAGAGGAAGGTTTTATTTTTCATAATTTAAAGAAATATTATTTATATTTATGATAATCTGACCTGCAGCTGATGGAAAACTGAACAAGAATATAATCCCAGATTTATTCAACTTTATAACATAAATAAAAATCAGCAGCGGTTTTAAAGCGGTGTTCAAAGTGTGGCACGGGGGCCGTTTGTGGCCCTCGGGAGGATTTTGTTTGGCCCCTGAATGCAGCGACAGCCAAATGAAACCGACCAGCAGAGGAAGTTCAGACGTTACAGAAAGCTTTTTTTTTTTTACAGTGATGCATGCTGGGACATTTCCTGCTGTTCCTCCTGAACGCCACAGAGACTCACCTTCTGCTTCACCTGAAACGTTTCAACTTCAAATGAACCGTTAATGTTCTGCACAGCTGGCGGAAAACAGTCCGTCTACATTTCTCAGTCGCATCAGTTTACGTTTCATAAATCCTGTTTTCATTTTTGTTCTCATTATTTTAGAATGAAAAGTTTTAGCTTCACTAGGAGCCCAGAGGCTTCATCAGAACCTGGAAATGATTTCATTTTATCATCCTCCCTTTAGGATTCGAAACATCCTCAGTGATATTTGTGATATTTCTGTGTTTTCATGCCGACTTCCAGCCGGTTCTGTCTCCGAGAATGCAGCGAGATGTACTTGGTTCTGACCGCTTCCTGCTGGGAGGCGGAGCTTCATTTCCTCTGAGCTGCAGAGCGTCTGCAGACTCTCTGCAGACTCTCTGCAGACGCGCTGCAGACGTTCTGCAGACGCTCTGCAGACGCGCTGCAGATGCTCTGCAGACGCTCCGCAGATGCTCTGCAGACTCTCTGCAGACGCGCTGCAGACGCTCTGCAGACTTTAGTGACAGAGAAAAGATCGATTCAGCAAACCTGAGAAAATCCTTCATTTACTAAACCCTGAGATTCACTCTGATGTCTTCAGAACCAGAACCGGGTCAGCGCCAGGACTGTGGGTGATGATTGGTTTATAACTGAACGAACGTCATAAAAACTAAAGAAAAATGTCATAAAAGCATCAAACAGTCAGCAGTTTAGAAACCAGTTTAACAAACACTTTATGGATCATCAATAAAATCATTTTCACTCATCAAACTCGTTGATCGATGTTTCATTTCTTATGTTTCCCATCATCTCCAGCCTGCAGGTTTTACTCTGAGTTTAAAGGATCTCAGTGTTTCACTCCAGCTGCTGGTGACTTTTATCTCACATGAACTTTGACCTCTGTGGAAAAAATAGATATTCAACCTGCAGAAACAAAACACACATGAAATTAAAATGTTTTCCTCTGATCATAAAACACAGAGCTGAATGTTTAACTTCTGGTTTCTGTTGCTCTGGATTCTTAATCTAATCAGAAATTTTAATTTGGCAAAAAACATTTCCATTATGAAAACTTAATAAAAAATGTGACAAATTGAAGCAAATGGCAAATTTATAGCATGAAAAATATAATGTTTGTAATGACAATTATAGGAAATTCATTTTTTTTTTTTATTGTTTTAATGATGAGGCTGAAAAACTGAAAACTTAAACAGACTGAAGAATATTAATCTGATCCTGATTCATGAGAATATAATAACAATAATAATAACAACAACAACAACAATAATAATAATATTATTATTATAACCTCAGGACCAGAAATATTTTGACTCTTTTATATTTTCTTTTTCATTTAATCTTGTCTCGTATTGAAGTGTTGCCATCTAGTGGAGGATTTGGGTAACAGCAGCATTTCTGACTCTCCCAACCCTTTAAAAATATTTCTTCTGAACTTCTGATCAATATGTAACAAATTAGATTTATTAAGAATCACCATCTTATTTATATTTATAAGCACTAAAATGATGAAAGTCATTAAACTTTTGTTAGAAAAATGAAGACGTAGAAAAATTTTCTTCTGTGATTTTTTTATTTGTGAAAAATGATTTAGTAAAAGCAAAAAGTTTCCATCCTGATTATTTATTCATATCTAATTTTCTAAAAACATAAATACAGACATTTATTAAGAGCTTTAATAAATATGAAAACATTAGAAAATGATTAAATGCAGTTTAGATTTTTATTTCCCAAGGATGCTTTTAAAATGTTTTAATGTTAATATTTTATGTTTTTGTGCAGCTTTTACTGCAGTGATTATATTTATTATAAAAACATTATTTCTCCTAAAATGATCAATATCTCAGTAAAAATCACTTTTTAACCAGTTACTGAGACGTTAAAGGTCCAAAACGCCTTCAGAACCCGGACAGCCCGGTTCTGAAGGTGGAGGTTGGTTCTGTTTGACCTTTGACCTCTCAACAACACAGTTCACCTGGCCTGTGGTAAGAATCAATAATAAATCAATAAACAGATGAAGCTCTGATCAGATTCATGAGGCAGATTGGAAATCAATAAAAACTAAATGTTTAGAAATGAATTATAATGTAAATTAAAAGTATTGATATTGATAATCTCTGTATTGATTAATAACCTCCATATTGATTAATAACCTCAGTATTGAATAATAACCTCTGTATTGATTGATAATCTCTGTATTGATTAATAACCTCTGTATTGATTAATAACCTCTGTATTGATTAATAACCTCTGTATTGATTAATAACCTCTGTATTGATTAATAACCTCAGTACTGATTAATAACCTCTGTATTGATTAATAACCTCTGTATTGATTAATAACCTCAGTACTGATTAATAACCTCTGTATTGATTAATAATCTCTGTATTGATTAATAACCTCTGTATTGATTAATAACCTCTGTATTGATTAATAACCTCAGTACTGATTAATAACCTCTGTATTGATTAATAATCTCTGTATTGATTAATAACCTCTGTATTGATTAATAATCTCTGTATTGATTAATAACCTCTGTATTGATTAATAATCTCTGTATTGATTAATAATCTCTGGTCACTGGAGGCCAGAGGCCGGTTCTGTCCCAGACAACTTAATGTTTGGAATATCAATAAAAACTATAACTAACGATATCAACACTAATCTTTATTACAACGTTCTAATTTCAGACATAAACATTAAAGACTCTGTTTCATCTCCACGGCCATGCTGCTCTGGTTGTCATGGCAACTGATCAATAGGATTCTCCTCTGAGCTTCAATAAAGAGAATAAATAAACTTATTGATCAGTATTGATCCGCTTTGTCAGAAATGTTATTTCAACCTAAACAATACAGAACATCTGGAATCAATCTGGACAACAGCTAAAGACTAACAGCTCAATGCTAATGGCTCAATGCTATCAGCTCAATGCTAATGGCTCAATGCTAATGGCTCAATGCTAACAGCTCAATGCTAACAGCTAAGTTACCTGTAATGCTAAATAATATTTATACTAACAGTTAAAAATGACATTTTAAAAACTAGATGTACATCAGCAGCCAAACAATGTCAGTGAAAACACTGAAATGCTATAAAAATGATCAAATAAATATTGTGCATTTTTGTATTGATCTTGTTGACCTGCTGATCGATCGGGCTGCTATGTTCAGAGTGTCCGCCAGAGGGCGCTGTTCGCCTGCAGCGCTTTAATGTTTAAATGCGACATGAATACTTTTATTCTGAATCTTTTTGTTGTTTATCTCATTGTTTTTCCTCATATTTTTAACGCCTGTAAAAAAGTAATTTTGCTGATTAAATTTGATGTTTGAGTTGATTTAATTTAATATTAATTTCATTTCCAGCCGCTGGTTCTAAGTTTTGTTTTCGCCGTTTATGACGAAACGAAAGTGAAAGGAACCCGAACCTCCTCCTCCTCCTACTCCTCCTCCTGCTCCTCCTGCGGTTCCGTCAGTCTGAGTCTGGACCAGAACCATGGAGGAGTCCGAGTGTCCGGCCCTGACCGTGGAGGGCGACTGGAGCCCGGCCCAGAGAAAAACCGTCCGGAACAAACTGCAGCTGTACTTCCAGAGCAAGAAGCGGTCCAGCGGAGGAGACTGCCGGGTGGAGGTGGAGGAGGAGGCCGCCAGAGCCTCCGTCTACTTCCGAGAGGAGGACGGTGAGTTCCTGCGGCTCCGGACGGCCTGGTTCCGCTCCGAACCGGGACTTACAGGTCCAGTTCATCCAGGAGGAAACCACTGACTGAAAGGAGGAAAACCAGCAGCTGTTTACTGAAAAGCCTGAAACTTTAAACATGGCGACTAAATGATTAAAGTTATTAATTATGATCAAAACAACCGGCGGTTAATAAACAACCTGACATGGCAGCCGAGCTCCCAGCATGCACCGGGGCTGCTCCTTCATCCTGGAGCCCAGGAGACACAGTCAGCTGATCAGGTGGAGTCTGGGTTAAAGGTCAGTCTGACGTCATGACCTGAGGCTGGCCGGGGTGAAAGGTCAGTCTGAGGCTGGCCGGGGTGAAAGGTCAGGATCCTGGTTTAGTATTGAGCAGGGAACAGGTGAGTCAGATGAACCTGGAGACGATCCGAGCTGAGATGATGGTCCAGCAGTGAGGACATGGAGCCAGAACCAGGCTGTCCTGGTTCTGCCTACTGGTCAAACTGGGCTGGACTGAATGTACCTGCAACATGAAGGCTCTGAGTGACTCCAGGTTTGGTTTGCTTGCAGTCAGAGGTCAAGTCCTGGCGAAGACGGATCATGAAATCACGGTGGAGGGGAAACCTGTGCGGCTGCGGCTCAGTTCTGGACCTGCTCAGGTAAAACCTGCCGACGTTCTGCATCATTTACAGTCACGTTTGGGTTTGTCATTCGGGTCAGGAATCAGGAAAACTTCTGTAAAGTAACAGATTATTTTTATAAATTGCTTCATTTTGACCCTCAGGATTATTCATCTGTTTCCTGAGATCATTTAGTTGTTAGTAGCTGAACATGAATCCAGTTAAAGCTGAACTTCAGTTTAACGTTTATGTTTTAAATCTAAACATCAGATATGATAAAATATGTTTTCATACCTTCTATATCAGGTTTTCCTCCATTTGAAGCTGAATTTCCTTAAATTTACTCCATAAAAACCTGGAGAGATGAAAATGGAAAAAAATAGAAACAGGCTTTAATGTGAAATTTGCTGCAAAGCATCCTGGGAAAGAAAACATGGA